CCTTACCCATAATTTAAAACTTCTTTTTATACTGTCATCAGACTTCTTGTATTTTCCATGTCTGATCATTTCCCTTCTCTGAATTCCTTGTGAGTCGAATTCCACTGGCTTTTACTTCTGTTGGTTCTAATTCATGGTTCTGGGTTTCTGCATGAAAAATGTCACATGTGTAGTGAAAATATTATTGAAGCACCGTGTTTAGTGTATACTTGTTTATTTGATGCCCTCATTGCTTATCATAACTTTGAATTAGAGAAAAAGAAAGCTGCCTTTCCATTGTTTCTTGGGGAGTTTCAACATTTCTTCATCTTTTTAATCTAGTTATGATACCACAGTTGAGTTCTTAATCCATGTAGTTAATCCAGTATCGACTTGCTGTCTTAGCCTCCTAGAATGAACACAAGAAAATGTATACATAAAATATAAATAAATATATTATAAATATCTGTAAACTCTGAAGGTGAGGTGCCACCCACCACCTCTCACCAGGGAAGTAGGAAGCAATTCATTCTCCTCCAGCCCTGCCACTGTTCTGGGAATTTCCATATTTCCATCTCTGGCCTCCCAGTGACTTCTCCTGAAGGCCACCCCCACCCACGGAGGTGCTCACGTTCCTGCCTTTGGGCATCACCCTGAGCTGCTTGACTCAGAAATCTTATGCTCAGGGTCCCGCCCTGACCACAGTCTCCCATCCCTCCAGCATCTCCTGCTCTCACTCCTGCTATGACTTGCTCTCTGATCTCACAGAGAACTATATCCTTTACCCACTGTGCAGAGAAAAGACCAGCACCAGCCACAGCCCGATGAGTCAGCATCACTTGCTCCAAGGTCAGAGGAGCTGTGGTCATGGAAGCTGTAGTCCTGGAAGCTGTGGGTCTGGGAACTGTGGTTTTGGGAGCCGTGGTCCTGGGAGCCATGGGCCTGGGAGCCGTGGTCCTGGGAGCTGTGGTCCTGGGAGTCATGGGCCTGGGAGCCATGGTCCTGGAAGCCATGGCCCTGGAAGCCGTGGTCCTGGAAGCCGTAGTCCTGGGAGCCATGGGCCTGGGAGCTGTGGTCCTAGTTGTAGGGACCCCATGGGCGCCTGAACAGGGACACACCCTGGCAATATGGCGCCCTTCCT